CTTTGTTAGTTAATATTTTCTTGAGTCTATTGTTTTATTGATTACAGTGCTTGAATGAAGAGCAATTACAGCAAAAGAAAACATCTATTTACACACTTTTCCAATAAGTGTAATTATATTTGATTAATGTGCAACTAGCCTTCTGTATTAACATATACAGTCTGTTTATTTTTAACCTTTGTAAATGGGAATACAATATAAAAATAGTTTTGAAACAGACATATTAACATTGTATTGCATTCTCATTTTTTAAAAGCTGTTTAAAATCATATTGTTGAATGACTTACAGATCATTTTTAGAGCATACAAACTGTAAAAGCTAAACAAAAATTTTTTGGTCTCAAAATTTTTTTTTGTATTTTTTTTTATTACAACTATATAGCCTATATTAAGAATATAAATATATTATTTGGTACAGCCTTTGTATACAGGAATATAATATAAAATGTAAAAATAGATAATCTAAAATGTAAAAATAAATCAAATTACTTTCTGCTGTTTGTGGTATTTTTATTTATTTAATGATTTGTATATGTTCATTAAGAGAATATCCAAACTTTATAATTCATTATAATTTACATATTAGGAATATATATATATATATATATATATATATATATATATATATATATATATATATATATATATATATATATATAATATATGTAATATATTTAACATAGAAATACCAACCAAATAATAAAATAAACACATATACATAGATAAATAAAGATATATTTGTATATAATGTGTTCAAAGATCTGAAAGTATATAAACATACTGTATAAAAGCGATTAATGCTCTTCATGTATTTGGTTTTTTAAAGATATCAAAAAAACAAACTTTGAAATATCATAAAATCCAATTTAAAGAAACAAAATATAATTTTTAATCATGTAAGTACTTGCTTGGGCTGGCTTTGTCCCTCATCTTATTCCAAATTCACCCATAATAAGCACTTCTAATGGGGGAGGTGTGGTTGAAAGGGGGGTCATGGGATAGGTACAGGTATAAAACAGTGCTGTCGGGGTCAGAAATCAAATCCCAGAGGAGTATTAAACAAGACAGACCTTTATACTTCTCCAGCCCCTTCAGCATTCAGAATTCAACCAGTGGTGACTCAACATGTGGAAGGACAACAGTATTGGTAAGCACTACTAAATGCCGGTGATTTTTTTATGGATAGACAATAACATGATGTAATAAGAAAAGCCAATCTTCTCCATCTCAAACCAAAAGTCACATACTGTTACTGTTCTTCTGCTTATTGTGGAGAAGAATTCATTAATTGCATTGATATTGTTTGCTTGAATTTTTTTAAAACTATGACAATCATTATAACACTATGATTGGCTTTGCACTAATTTTGATCTTATTTTTTTAGATGCATCTGGTAAAATATCTGGAAGCGGTACTGCATCAAGAAGTGCAAGTCGCAGGAAAAGGACGAGTTTCTCAAAGGAACACGTTGAGATTCTGCGTGCCACATTTGAGACAGATCCTTACCCAGGAATCAGCCTCAGAGAAAGTCTCTCCCAAACGACTGGACTACCAGAATCTCGCATACAAGTGGGTCACGATGTCTTATGGCACGTTATTTACAATTGCACACTGAATTCAATGAAATTTAAAGGGGTTGGTCACACCCCCCCCCCCCCCCCCAATCAATTCAATTCAATTCAATTCAAAATTATTTGTATAGCGCTCTTCACAATACATATTGTTTCAAAGCAGCTTTACAGATATGTACATTGAAAAAAAAGATCTTGATGACTTTTACTCCGCTGTGGAACTGATCTATATAATTAAAGTCAGCAGGGTCTAAAACAACTTTTGGCCCCATTGACTTTCATTCTATAGACAGAAAACCAACCCTTTTTTGGGGTCCGCAGAAGAAAGAAAATCAGGTTTGAACAACACGAGAGTGAGTAATTTTTTGGGTGAACTATTTCTTTAACTATGCAAATAAGGAAACAACCCCTTCTTCTTCTCTTTCTCTGTATCTCTTAAAAAAATTCACCAGCTACGCATAAAACAGGTGAAGTGATATGCTAATAAGGCCTTATGTGAAACATACTGTTTGCTTTCTTTGATACCACTATCAATATCTGACATGACGTAAGCGTCTTTGTGTTTATCTGCTGTTTAGTTTAAAGACCATACGGCATGTAAACAATAGACATACCAGGCATAGATAACCGTCCTGACTTTATGCTACCATGGCTGGATGTCATCTCATAATGATTAACCTGAATCTTTTGACAGGGAAGTTCTTATCTGTATGCACTAGATGGTTGAGTCTAATCTATGAACTGTATTCTTATGACACTGACCCTCTTGATGTTTCCACTTGCAATAGGTTTGGTTCCAGAATAGGAGGGCTCGCACGTTGAAATGCAAGGGTGGAAAGAAACCGTTGTGGCAATCTGACTCACCATTGCCAGCCTACAGTGCCATGCAGAATTCACCGGTGCAGATTCACTCTTCTAACAGGGAGGGTGGCAAGTCTGGCGCGGTCACTGGGCCTTTATGCACTTCACCAACTGTGCACCCAGATCATATTAAGGAAGAGATGGAAAGGGATGGCCACTATGGATGTGACACTCCATCTTCCATGTCTATCGGTGATGATTCCGGCTACTGCACCCCTTCATACGGACACCATCAGGCCAGAGCCATGAACACTCACTGCAGCCCTCCTCTTCTAAGCACAGAGCATCAGATGCCCCCTAACTGGGCTGCGAGGTATGACAGGAGATCCCCTATGAGTTCCATGTGGAGTCCATATCATCTTGATGCCTATGCCTGCAAAACAAGCTCCATCCAGAGCTTTTTTTACTGTCCATCTGAAAAACACAACAGCCTTCAGCCACTGACCCCTGTTACCCCAGACTCGGGTTGCTGGGAGGGCACTCCTCCAGCTTCCAGCTCTTTTTGTGTAGACAACTCAGAAGTTCAAAGCATGGAGAGCCAACAGGAAAGTGGGATTCACCACGGGCCTCTGCCCGAGCTGCCGGCCCTGTCGCTGCATGAGATCCTGGGAGAACTGCAAGGAGACTGGTGGCAGGGAGAAGGAATAAACAGCCACTCGTCATCTGAGGACAACCATATGTATGGCTGAATTTTGCTGTGTGCAATGACTATTTATTCAATGTATTTATTGACTATGAGGATATACTTAAACAATAATTTATTATTTATCTGATCTGAAAGTAACAATGAGAGATTTCAGATGTTTTCAGACTAATTAAACGGGCTTTAACTTTCTTTATCTTCATTTTTGATATTTATTTAATAGTCTCTGTAAAAGTGTAATGATGCAGCTATGTGTACAGACATTTTTTATTGACTTCATTTAATTGCTGCACTTGTATTTAAATAAAGATGCTTCCCACTAATGCTCCCTCAAATATCAGATTTTATACAATTGTTCTGTATATTGCTAGCTTTTTGTACTTATTCTTTAATACATGGATAACCTCAATGCCAAATGTCCCCCCCCCAAAAAAAACAAAAAAAAAAAACAAAAAAAACAACAACAACAAAAACCATGATATTCGTCAAATATGCATAAGTGTTTCTGTCATCCATAAGATCTGAATCAAAAAGTACTCTTAACCATTCAAAAGTCTGGGGTTGGTACAAGAGTTTTTAAATGTTTCTTGTGTAATCTACCTGCTTTTACATTGTAAATAGTTTACTTTTTTGTGAGTGTGGTGTGGGGTGTTTTTAGAAACAGTGATGAAACAGGAAGAGGAGATAAGTGATTTGCATGAACTGGAGGGCCTTCTGCTTGCATCTCCTTTGATCAACAAGAGCAATTGTTTTGAAGAAGGGTGGAATTAAGAACTAATGGGTTTTTAGCCCTCTAGTAGAGAGGCTTTCATGAAATAGGCCTATATATTGTACTTTTGGATTGTTAATCTATAAATGAGAAAACTCTGGAACTACACAATACAACATGACCCAATAACAATTTCAATTGACAAGGTGAAGGTAATCTCCATGGTTTCACATCTGGATTGCAGGAGTATGATGAAAAGGTGGTAACTGAAATATGTCTCCTTTATCTGTTAGAGATGTCTCCACGCTCTTTTTCCATCTAGTGTGCCTGCCAACAACATGTTCTCTTCCCATAGGGTTTCATGACTCCACTGCCTTCTTTATAAGCATTCCTGCCAAAATAAGTCACAGTGCAACTGGCTGGTGGCCATGTGGACATTTTGGGCAGTAGAAGTATTTTCCAAAAGTTGTACTGGTCTGTTTTCTATTCCACTGTGTGTTTTTTGGGGATGTTTGGTATTTTTTCCTCAACATTTTCTTTCAAACAACACTGTAAGAGGAAGCTGGTCTGTCCCTCTTGGATGAAACTGTATAGAGTATATGACTCATACTGCTGTCAAATTATCATTTATTATAGCAAAGAGTTGTGTTTTATATGAAAATAGATAAAAGGTAGGTGTGTGTGTGTGTGTGTGTGTGTGTGTGTGTGTGTGTGTGTGTGTGTGTGTGTGTGTGTGAGAGAGAGAGAGAGAGAGAGAGAGAGAGAGAGAGAGAGAGAGAGAGAGAGAGAGTGACTTTGTGTGATATAGCTAGGTATATGAGAGCACTACCAAAGCAATAATGTCTCTTCCTGTTTACACAATTCATAGCACTGTAGCGGATGTGGCAGAATTAGCCTGAACCTTAATCAATTTAGTTAATATAAACTGTATAAATAATATAAAATGTAAATAAATAATACATGATAAAAATAAAACACTAGAAAATATTCTGTGTGTTTGTGTTATAATCATTATAAACATTTAAACAATGTAAATAAAATACTAGATATTTGTTGGCTACTTTTCGTGTTTTTTAACGTCGCTTTAATATAGGCTAGTTTCATGTCTAATAAAATGAGATAAGTGGATCTCTAGTAAATAATCGTGGAACAGATTTGGTTGTGTTTTTGAGTGATCATTTCTCGAGTCGGGCGTTCTCACGCTCACTCACAATGTCCTGATTCATAGCCTATGTGGAGTGGGTGTTTGACTTTGTAGAGTTGGCTTTTCTTTTTCGTTTTCAAACTCTACCAGGCGGAGGCGTTGTGCGACATAAACAAAGAGGTGAGCGCTTTAAGATTATTATAACTGCTTATTTATTTATATTTCTTAACATTGAGTAACGTTTTTTGTTTTTGTAAAAATCGACAATAAACCGCTTTGCTTTGTAAATTTAAATTGTAAATAACGTTACTTTGGACAGACATAAGTCTTGAGCGTTTCGTTACACCCACAGCGCGCTCACGCACTCTCCCAACATTAACGAAAATAAATTAAACTGTGGCTGTATTTTTAACCAGTCGTTGTAAAGATTTTATATCTTGTTATATTGTCTATATATTTAGTAGGTTAATGTGAGCAAATAGTTGGGTTTGACAAGTCGTGACGTGAGGTGATACAGTTGGTTAGCTATGTTGAGGTATCTAGCTCTTAGCATTGTTCTTGTTTTTTACCGAAACCGAACAAAGATATTATATAATTATTGTACGGACAGTGTTCACTACATGAACTTTACAAAATCTTCTAAACGGTAGCTAACATTATTTGTTGAGGAAGACCGAGATTTGCCTTGCCAGCTGGTTTTAAAGTGCGAACTGTGACAACTTTGCTTGCTAATCAACTAACGTTAGCAACTTGGCTAACTAGTAAGAGGAAGAAATAGTGAGCCATCTTGGTGTTTGTGTGTGTAATCGCTGATTTCTGATTATTGGATTAATTATTTATTCCCTTATGAGTTGCCTCTGGAGCACTAAAATATACTTTGATCATATCTGATGTGATAATCAAAAGAAAACACAAATGTACACGACATTTTCGCTCAACAAGAACATCATCAGTGGTTTTAAAATGAACTGTTTGCTGCTGATCCAAATTGGAATAATTATGATAACGTAACAGCTTAACCCGAGATATTTATCCATCTGTTTTTTAATAGTTTGTGTGTGTGTGTTATGCATCAGACATGATTACAAATCTTTGAAGCAAGATTTGATCATTTGATCAAGATTTTTGGATGTGTATGTATATAGGTGAATGTACATTTTTTTTTGTCAGCAGACTTAAATCATGAGCTTGATCCAGCCATTTTTATTTTTAATAAAAATAATTTATTTTTACAATCTAACAACACATTTGAGTTTTCTAAGTTCTCGATTAATGGTCATATAACATGCAGCTAAACAGATCATTTCCTTCCCCTTTTTATATTTATTTATTTATTTTTTGTATTTTTAAATAATTTATTTTAATTTTACTTGTTTTGACTTAATTACGTATTCGCTTTTTATCACAAACCCCAATTTGGGGTATACAAGAAAGTAAAATATGTTAAATTTGACTGGAATTGAAAAGTTAATTTTATCTTGAACAACATTTAGTTAAGTCAGCAAGGGTGGGTCTGCTTGCATTAAAAATGGGTAAGTTTTCTTTCTTTCTTTAAATGCAGTTCGTCTTTCTGTCTTGACAGGAAATGCATGACACACTCTTCCCTGTATTACAAAAAGCTGCGAATGAATTTTGCAATTAAACTTTTGTGCAATTGATTTATCCCGAGGATGTTATTGTTAGGATGTTATATTATATATATTAGTTTTAACACTTCTATGCATTACCACGTATTTCAACTTCTGTTAGTGTACGTTTTGAGTTAACAATACATGGTAAAGATCTCTTTAGATGTTTCCAAGTGGTAATCTGAAACGTCATTTTCATTTTTTCTACAGAAGAAGATGCACTATTACAGATATGAAAATGCAGAGGTCAGCTGTTGCTACAAATACCTCATGTTCAGCTACAACATTATCTTTTGGGTAAGTTAATGAGAATGTTTTTTTTCCACATGCACAATCGCACACAAACATGCCGTCACCTGCCAATCATGTTTTAATGGACAGCCCTTCCAGTTCTGACATTAGATAACATCTAGTACTGTGTCTGCCCTGCCTATCTTTTATGCCACTCTTGCTCAGCTATAATCTACAGACCACCACCAAATTTCATGTTTATTTGTTCCACTTAGTTTGACACCGTGTGCACAGATGTTTCACACTTTCTGACTGCATTTTCATCACATCATGTTAACACCCACAGCTGAAACTTTATACATCAAGAGAAAAAGTCAGCCTAATGACGTCAGGTTTCTATATACGTCAACAGGAAACATATTTACCCTGACATACTATTGCAATAGTTTGTGGTGTCCTGTATAAGGAAGCATGGGAGGAGTTCATACCAGATAACAGCTTCTAAACCGTTTTCCTGTTTTCAGTTTTAAACATGGCTCCTGAGAAACAAGTTTTGTTGTTACTGCACACTTTGTTATGCATATTTCATGCCATTTGTGTCCATTAATCAACACTTTATTGTCCATACTTTTAAATAAAGTGAAATAATTTGTATCTTTAGCATGTTCATACATTTTATACTCTACCGTTTAAAAGTTTGGAGTCAGGTCAGTAAGATTTCAATGCATTTATTAAAGAGGACATGTTAATTTGATCAAAAGTGAGAGTAAAATATTTAAAAAAATTTAATTTGAATATTGTATTCATCAAGAATAAATAGAAAACTCAATTTGTTAAAAATTAACACATTTTTTTAACAAATTTGTTAAATTTGTAAAAAAAAAAAAAAAAAAAACAATTTGTTAAGCGGAACAATGGTTTTCACCAAATCAGCATATTAGAATGATTTCTGAAGGATCATGTGACACTGAAGACTAGAGTAATGATGCTAAACAAATTCAGCTTTGTCATCACATGAATACATTACATTTTAAAACATAATAAAACAGAAAAGTTATTTTAAACTGTTATTATATTTCACAATATTCCTATTTTGTATTTTTGTACAGACTGTATTTTTGATCAAATAAATGCAGCTTTGTAAGTATAAGAGACTTTCTTTAACAATAAAATAAAATAAAATAAAAATCTTACAGACCCCAAAATTTGAAGTGTTTTTAAACTTTTTTTAGAAGTAGAAGTGTCTTGCTTGGTGTTCTAGAGTTTAGTCACATTTAGTCTCATTAATGCGTCATATGTTATAACCACACACTTAGTCGTTGCAGGTTTTTTGTCTGAACTTGACCAGTCTGATGCAACATGTCTTATTGTTTCCTAAACCTCTTCTGCTTATCAGCTAGCTGGAACAGCATTCATTGCAATTGGCTTCTGGGCCTGGAGTGAAAAGGTGAGTCTCTGTCTGTGAATGTCTTTCTTGTCTACTCTTTTAGGGTGTGTTTACACTTGTAGTTTGGATCTTTTGGACTGGACCAAAAAATAAAATAAAACATTTAGTCCTGGTTTCCTTAGTGTTCACTCTGTTATTTTTAAACACTGAACCTAATGATAAAAAAATAAGCTTTTATGGCGTTTATTTTGCAACTGAACTTGGATATACACACAAAACAATGTAGTGTGTGCTTGGCTGAATGCGTTGCTTTATGTGCATACAAATGGCAAATGATGGAGCTGACTTGTTGAGGAGTTTATAAAATGAGCAAAGGAATCAACACACTGGCAACAATCTTTCTGTTACACACACAAAGGAAGATCTGATGTTAGGAAACATGGTTCTGATGTCTGTACCGAACTGTGATGGGCAACATTGCGACTATGATGAGAAAAAATAGGTACGGTTGAGCATTCTGTCCTTTTTAGGGTCACATCTTGTTACATCATGTCCTGTTTTTGGTTAGTTTACATGTCTTTGGTCCGTGTTGCACTCATATTTTAGCCTTACCATACCAGAGTTTGTTTGAAAGTAGACCCAGACCCTGGACCGAGACCCATCTTTTCAGGTTCGGATGGCAACGTTCACAGAGCAATCACTCCAGAGTTTGTTTGAATCAAACCTAATCTGCCAAGTTTGAACACACCCTTAAAAAAAACTTTTTCTTAGAACTTGAGTTTCAAAAAATGAGTTTATGTGGCTGTGAAAACACATTCACAGTGGCTCAGGGTAAAACAACTAGTGAAAATGCTTTATTCCTTGATTTGCCCACAGGGTGTTTTATCAGATCTGACGCAAGTCACACGTCTACATGGTTTCGACCCAGTTTGGGGGGTGCTTGTTGTGGGCACAGTCACTTTCATTTTGGGATTTGCTGGTTGTGTCGGAGCACTCCGGGAAAACATCTGCCTCCTTAAATTTGTAAGTTCTCATTCTTTCGATGTGATACTGAGGTGCCATCACATAAGCTGGTTAATTTTGCATGTCTTGCAGTGCCAGACCTGTATAAGATAGGCACTTTATGATGTGTTAAATATAAATTCTTCTCAGACATAAAAATTCACAAATACTATTGATACTGTCAAAAGCGACTCTTTGAATTTTCACCTTGCTTGACTTTTTCTTTCAGTTCTCTGGAGTCATTGGCTTCATCTTCTTCCTGGAGCTGACGGCTGCAGTGTTAGCATTTGTGTTCCAGGGCCAAGTTAGGGAGTGGATCAACGAATTCTTCTTGGCCAATGTGAAGGCCTACAGGGAAGACATTGACCTGCAGAATCTGATCGACTCTCTTCAGAAGCTGGTAAGTTTGAGAGTTTTTAAATATATATCAATTCACATTCATTAGGCAAGGCAAGTTTATTTATATAGCACATTTCATACACTATGGCAATTCAAAGAACTTCACAGAAAGGAATTAAAATAATCATAAAATAAAAATAAATTAAAATTAAAAGAGATATATGGTATAGTTATAAAACACAGGTGTATCATATTTTGCACAGCTGCTTGTTTTTCTGTGAGATTTTCCTATGTGGATTGTACTATGCCTGTAGTGTTCTTTCGATGCGCCCAAAAAATCTATTGGACGTCTCCAGTAGATCCGATTTTTCCCTAAAATCGGACAGGAGGAGCTCTAGGACTGACTCGAGTTCACTGCCTCGTCATTCCACACCCCAAAAATCCATTTGTTCAGAAGCTCTAAGAATAGAATCAATCCAGTCTTCACCCCACAAAACCTCAAGTTTGGATTTGAATGTGACTACTGTAGGAGCACATCTGATCTCTTCTGGAAGCTGGTTCCAGCTGCAGCTGGCATAGTAGCTAAAAGCGGACTCATCATGCTTAGTGCGAACCCTTTGTATTTAGCTGAGGTGGTCCTAATGATCTGAGTGATCTGTTAAGTTTATATTTAGTGAGCATATCTGCAATGTTCATAAAAAAGAATTGGAAAAAATCTAAGTCCAGGCACTCAGTAGGCACTCATACCTGCAATGCATTGTGGTCCCAGGCCATTGAGTGATTTATATACCAGTAACAATACTTTAAAATCAACCCTAAATGCAAATGAGTGCTTTCTGTTTACTCCACATGCTAACCACCACATACTTATTAGATGTGAGACTGTTAAAAACAAACTTCTGTGTCTTTTCGCCAATTTTTTTAATTAAATCAATGCTAAATTAAAACCATAAATAGGATGAAAAAGCCATAGATATTAAGGACTTGTAGAGAAGTTTTAAAGCTAGTACTGAACACATATGTCTTGGACTGGTTTTGAATTCATATCTTTTTTTTCTCAATATTTTACATTTTAAATTATTGTTAATGTAATTTGGGTAATTATGATAGCACAATTTTGACTGCTTACTCACCTTGCCTGTGCAGGGTTTTATTAAAAACATAATTTTGTTTTATTTACAGAATCATTGCTGTGGAGCTAAAGACCCCAATGACTGGAATCTGAATGTGTATTTTAACTGCTCACAGAGTCAGCACAGCAGAGAGAAATGTGGCGTGCCCTTTTCCTGCTGCATCGGCGACCCTGCCGTAGGTTCCTTTCTCCTTCACAGCATCCCTCCACAGAAAATAAAGAGTTCATAATAAAAAAATACTGTTTTAAAGAACGCATTGTGCTTTTAAGTCAAAGGACTTCCTTTGCTTGTTGTGGCCTTGAAATGCTTCAAGGAATAGTTTAACCTCATGTCGTTCTAAACCCTGACATCTTTGTCTGAGAAACTTTGCAGAATGTACTTTGTAATTGCATCGTTCAAAACATTATTCCGCATTTTATGGGGGAAAAAAAGTCATTTGGATTTAATGATTATGGTCTACTTTATGGGTATGAATTATCATATGCCGTAAAAAAACAAAACAATATAATTTGAGCACTGTAAAAGGTGTTGATTTTACAAGACAGCTTTTCACCTTGGCGCGTTTTGATATCATAAGATCTTGTGGCACAAGATCTCTCCACACCCCGAATACTATACTAGGCTATGTCTGGTTTTGGTTTAAATTACTTCGTGCATGGTTATTTATTTCTATCGTAAATGACTTTACAGCAATTGTAGGCCTCATTTTCATGATCCTGTTACTTTTCTTTACAGGATACAGTGGTGAACACGCAGTGTGGATATGATGTTAGATCAACTGGCACAGCGGTGAGTGCATATTGTTCAGCATTTTGTTCTTTGCCATTGTTGACAAAAGTTCTGCTTTAACCCTATAAACCTGAAGTGTAACGCTGACGGTACACCAAGCGAAACAAATTCATAATCAAATTACTAAGCAACCACTGAGTGGAATAAAACAAATCAATTCTTAACTCTGAACAAGTGCTGAGTAGTCACTCTAAAATATGGTGTACCGCTGGCGGGCGCCACATAGCTACGAAAACATTAATAATCATAATTTTTAAGAGTTATTAGCTGATAAAAAATTTTTCCCATAATTTTTGAAACACTTTTTTTGTACTACCGGTATGTACTGTAATATGTCAAAAACCTCATACAGGTTTCATATGCTGCTATGTAAAATGCTTTTTAATGAATTGCATAAATTTTACTGTCACTTATTTTGTGAATAAACAACACACTGTTTTATTTTTCAGTCTCAATGGAGCGATACCATTTATGTTAAAGGATGCATGATTGCTTTAGAGGAGTGGCTTCCACGTAATCTGTACATTGTGGCTGGAGTCTTCATAGTCATCTCATTGTTACAGGTATTGGGTGTGTTTGAAAAAAAAAATTATACTGCATGGAAAATATGTTTTACAGCTAGATGTCACCCACACAAAACAAATGATTGGAATTTCAGATTCTGTCATCAGATTGAATACAAATTGTAGGCCCTGAAAAGAAATCCTCTTCTGCATCCATGTAATGAGTATGTCTTTTTGAAGTGAATCTGAATCTAATGTTGTGTCTTGTCACTTTGCTATTAGATGGTGGGAATCTTCTTGGCAAGGACGCTGATTGGAGACATAGAAAAAGTAAAGTTTAATTATTACTGAGCTCATGTAACTGGAAGCGAGCAGGGCAATGTATGGAAAAATATGTGGACCTCCAGTTATTCTTTTTTTTTCATGGAGGACAAGAACATTTGTGGAAAAGAGGACTCGGGACTATTCACTTGGACCACCTTTTCAGCATTTCTAAAAACCACATATTGAATACGAAGCTGCCTAAGTTAATTTGGAAACTGTCACACGTGTGCCTTCTCTCTTCTACAAGTTTACCTCCAGCAGCCCACTCCAATGTTTTTTATTTTATTTTATATATGACCAACTTTAACATTTGTAATTTTGAGACCACTATTAACCAAGCTTGATATATATACTGGCCACAGAGTGGGACGATAACCTTTAAACTAACATAAATTGTAATTCTAATCATGAGAAGAAGCAGCCTAGTCAACCAAGCTTTAATTATTGAAACGTATCGGTATGGTCCTCTTACACATACTCAAATCTCGCTCTAGTTCAAAACCACAAACTGGAATGTCTTTTTGAAGCATGTTAATTTTTTCTTAGATAAAAGCATGCTAGTGATGATTAAAAAAATATACTATCTGGCCTCATAGTAAGAAGCGTAATAAAAGAACAATTGTAAAGCAGTTTTAACTGCAGTAAATACATTCCATTTTCTTAGTTCATTGATTTCAACTATTCATATTTATGCAGACAGTTAACATTTAACTAACTGCAAAGAGTGCAGAAGAAATATATCAAGATCTGACTAGACTGACTCGCGTGCAAACAGAACATATTGAGTACAGTCGGGTGGAAATAAAATTCCTGCGAGTCTAGAACAGAAGTGTCCTACATCACACAGGTTTTAAGCATCAGTATGCATCCTGTATTTTTACCCAATTTTAGAAATGTTTATTTCTACTCCGTTAAGGGTCATTTCATCTGATTGTCTTGCATTTGAATGTGCAAGCCTGGACTTGTGCAGACCTTTAGGAGTCACTGGAGTTTGATGCAAATCACCTTATGGTTTCTAATACTGATGTCAACATTGCCTTTGAGATGCCAACACTTACCTCCTTCTATTCTTGGTGACTTTATACAAAAAATCAGGTTGTGCCTTTTCTCTCGCATTGAAGGTTTTATCAATGTATTATACCATGTCTTAGCTAGATAGAGGTTTTATTCGTGTCAATCATTACACGTCAAATAATATTTACTTTTTGTGTTCTCAATTAAAAACTTGCCATTATAGCATAAACTAAAACTAAAACATTAACATAACATTAACTTCACTCTTAGCCCAAAGACTTATACTTATATTTTCACAGTTCTATCATAGTATACTTGTATAATATGATGTCTGAAACTCTCAATAATGCAAAAAGGAATTTACGTTAAAAATGTAGAAATTGTTAATCTTTTCAATTCAGAGCGCACTATTTCATCCCTTTTTCTTGAGTGTCTGTCTATGACACTGTGTAGTGTACTTGATTTGAGTATTTACTAAAATGCAGTAGTTTCCCTGATTTTACTGCAAGAGCCTCCTTTTTAATGAAGGGATGTTTTTTGTCATTTTGTTTTTGAATGCGTGTTGTCTTTGTAAATATTATCTTTTCAGTGTTTTTATATTCAATAAAAAGTTTGTTAGCTATCAGTCAGACTCATTGCTGTTTGACTTGAACCTGGTTTGCTGGATTGTGAAGTTCATACCATCTTAGTCATGCTGCAAATCTCAAAGTTGGATTTTATATCAAATCCTATTTAAATGTAATTATGTAAAACCAGGTTCCTACTTTTTTTTGAAGCATCATGCCATTTTTGCAAAACACATTTTACAGTTCTACAACTAAACTAAATGAGAACTTGTCAGTAAAAAAACGATATAATTAATTCTGTCTTATGCTCACCAAGGCTGCCATTGTTTGATCAAAAATACAGTAAACAATAATGTGAAATAATACAATTTAAATAAACTGTTCTATTTTAATATATTTGAAAATGACATTTTGGTCTTTTTGTGAAGTTAATCAGTGAAAATTTAAAACAACTTTTATCGAAATGTAATTACTTTTCCACTTCAAAAAACAACATTCATTTGAGGCTGTATCTGTTGCATTGTGATTATGGAAGAACGACTGGAGCGATTAAAAGCAGAAACTTCCTGAGGGCTCAGTTATAGAAAATCACCTATGCCTTTAATCCTGGATTGACTTTGCCAGGGGAACAGGGAAAAATCAACAACAACAACAACAGTAAACATAAAATGCGCCTTTAAAATTCAGACTTTGCTGTCTGTCATGACATCTGAGCTCAAGACGGTCAGGTGAGACAGGCTCACTTGTTGAGCAAGCCTGTAGTGCGGTACATTAGACACAAAGCTAGAACTTTTTTGTTACTTTTTCATGCAGCCCATACAACTACTAAAGCATCTTTTCTATATAGTAGCAGTGGCATTTTTCCTTTCAAAATGACTTATAGCACAATAATTACATGATTTTCTTGCTCAATTTGTGATAAAGCAGGACTGTTATCTGTAATTTTGCCTTTTCACAGTCACTTCTACATTAGATTGAACACCTCTGACAATCAGTCCTGATTAAAAAGTCTTTCTGGCAGGGCAGATGGAATGGGATCATACTTAAAACAAATAAAAAAGGCCATCTGTAAGGTGATGTGCACATATTTTGCTGGGTCGGAAGTGTAGAAGACCTGTTTTCTTTCACTGTGGAAGGTACAGAACAACTATCTCCCGCATGGAAAAAGCTACAATACGCCTAAAGGATGGACAGAGGAAACCGTCTTTTCCTGTTGTTTTTAAATCAGACCTTCCCCAGTCACACTTTTTTCTTTTGATTTCTGTCTCTTTCAGTCCGCACAATGGTTTTTGCTATTTGCATCACATCCTATCCCAAAGAAGAGAAAATAATGGAACGGTTTCATATATATTTATGCTTGCAGTTGCACTACAGGAATGCATTTGATTTACATGCATTAAAAACTACTAAAAATACACAAAAAAATGGAACGCTAATGGCTTTTCAACCACAAAGACCACTAATCCATGTAAAACACAACATGTCACGTTTCAACTGCCAGGATCATATGGAGACTTATAGTAAATCTCTGAAATATTCGACAATGTTGTCAGCTACCAACAAGAGTAGTACTCTCAGCTTTATGTAACATATTTTACCACGTTTAAAACAAGGATTCCACATCTTTTCCTCAAAGATTAGCACAGAAAATGCAAAGAAAAAGTCTGGGGCCCGATCAAGGCACTGTAAATCAGAGGCAGAACATGAGGACCAGAAGTCTTGTTTTATGATGTTATTTTTGACCATGTTCTTTGAAATGCAACGAAAACCCTGCTACATTAGCTGCCCTGCAGAGATTCGCCTTTGAAGTCTTTATCGTGCGAGGAGTCATGGGAAAAGCCCCCCGAAGTCCGCAGAGGGCCCGGTCCGCATGCAGGCCTCCAGCAGCAGCTCTTTCCCTGTAGTTGTGATGACTTCCTCCTGAGAATCGACAGATGTTGCCATTATCCAGAGTGCTGTGCACTCTATAGCGAGAGTAGGCAACAACATTTCTTACGGCTGAAATCATCATGCTGAAATCATCGCATGCAGTCATTCAATTTATTTTATATAAAATAGTGAGGGCAGCCTGCTTTCCAACACTGCTATGTTTCAGGATAAATCTGAGTTGCTTTTGTATTCTGTGATTGCTATTGAATTCTATTTGTTTTTCTAGCTGAGCAAAACCTGTTGTAATTCTCATATATATATATATATATATATGTTCACAGGTTTGCGACAGCGTTTTTAAATTTATTTTTACCATATTGCAGAGGCGTGAAACGGGAACGCTTTTTGACAGTTGTACAATGTCGCCTGCATTTGCATGTTACTAATGTCAGAGATTTCACAGCTTGTGACTCCAATTTTGACAGCATTTCAGACAGTGAAATCTGTATCCTTAGTTACATAGGGTATGCTGAAGAGATGTGTGAAGGTAAGCTCTTAGTTACTGAAAGTTGCCTCATTGCAGATTAGGTTACATTAAAGCATTTAACTAAAGAGTTAGCTCTGATTTCTAATCCATTTCTCAAATATCCGTGTATCTGGGCATCAGGGCTTCTTCACAGTGAAAACATTCTTCTGGGGAATAATGGTTTTGCAAGTTTATTTCATTTTGATTAAATAGTCATTTCATCCAAAAACTTTTTGTTTTCTGTGTTCAAGGACAAACTTGCAAATGATTGACCTTTCTGAATGTTTCAGTCTGAATTGTGAAGTTATTCAGACGGATAGGCTAGCAGGCAAAAATTAACATTTTCCCATCATTTACTCACCCTCATGCTGCCCCAGAGGTAGGCTATATTACTTGTCTTACATGATTTTTAGAAAAACTATCTATAGAGGGTTTTCACGACGTGTCATCAATCCGGAAGTCGGCCATTTTGGAGGCACAGAACAACAATGCCATTGAACTGAATGGACTTGCAAATTTGGCTGATTATTTCTGCTGAAAAATAGTCGAGTTTTGGTCTATACTAATCGGTCGCATCCGGAAAATACCTTTTGAGTTCTATAGACTGCCAAAATTACTGACAATGGCAAAGTTTTTTCAGTTCTGGCAGCTGCATTTAGGTTTCATCTGTTCAAATGATCTTGATGGAAAAAACGTGTAAGTATCACACATAAGCCTTTGCAATACTAACTGCTGGTTGGCCTACAAAGTAACGCAATACCTGCACCTCTCTATTCACAGGCTGCATCCAACCAAGTATTGTCAAAAATGGTCTAGTCTATGGAGGATTGTTCACTATAGCAGCAACTGTAACAGATGGCGTTAACGAGGGGGCAGTAAGGTTTGTAAAGGACTTTTTTTAAGTTATATTTATCTGTCTGAAAACAAAACAGGGTTTACATCCTATCAATAAAAGTTTACATTGGTCCATTTCATAATATGTAAAAATGCATCTTAGTAAGATTTGTCAACATTTGAACTGCTTTAAAGTTTTTTTTATTTTATTTTTATATTTGAATCATATTCCAAAATTTACATTTAAAAGTGTAATCTGAGAATTGCTCTCAAAAAATCCTGTTGTCACAGACACACAATGAAATCTGGGGAAGTGTAGGCCTCAAAGGATCCATCTGTTGTACTATCCATTACAAACGAGGGATGTATTTTGAGGCCGCATTTGAAGGATCTTTCTAATTGGAACAGCCTTTGTCACGCCGCTGTGACTCAGTCTGCCTTCGAATTCTGCCTTCAAAAGATGTAAACTCTGAATTGGGACACCGGCTCTATTTTCTAAACTCTTGCTAGGCTTTATTGTGAATGATTGATCAAATAATAAGAAAATGATTTTTCTATATTCTATTTTATTTTTCTATTCTTTTGATTGGTGATACATTTTTTTTAATCTTTTAGATTCTTGAATTCTGAAACACTTATATCTCAGAATAGCTTTCTAAAGTAGCTATTCTGCTCTCTTACCTTGTGGAAGTCAATGAGGTCAGCAAGGGTGGCATGACGGTTTTGGTCCACACCCAGAAAGCTGTAATAGTCCCCAGAAGCATCGATAAGGAAATGCTTGAAGCCGCTGGCTGTGCGATAGGACAGTGTGTAGCCCCATATCCTTTCACTGACCCGTACCAAGAAAGATCCCTCAGCAGAATTCATAAGAAGTCTTTCTGAGTCCTCTCGAGAAATGATACCTTCAGGATAAACATTCCAGTCAACTGTCAGTGAAGAGTTAATTACACTAATTAAAACTCCCCAAAACATTCACAGTGTTTTTTGTTAACTGAAGCACCTCAAAGATTTACCCTTGTGAAAAAGAAATACACTTTAGCATGCTTTTTAAAAGAGTACTTATTTTGGAAAGAACACACTTTAAAATAATTTACTTGATAACTGAGTTTTAATTAGATGTTATTTGCAATTAATTGAAATGTATTATAATTTTAATTATAATTTATATTGAATGCTAGTTGAACTTAAGAGTGTTATTTTTTTTTGTTGACATTCTCACGTGTTACATCTTTATGTAATTTCATCATTACTTCCGTTGTATTTGAAATATGGTTAAAGTGGACAGCCGAATGTCCTGAAAAGCATTGATGGGAAAATAAATTTAATATAATTTCTATTTAAAATTTATAGTCATTTTATTATTTGTAATTACACATTTTTAATGAAGTTAAATGTAACATTAAATTACACACTACAGTTAAAATATAATCTATAACCAAGACTACTTGTGCTTTAGAATGTTAGTCAACACATCAAATTAAGTGTACTTGTTAAGCATGATAAAAGATTATTAAAGCAATTATTCAAAATGTGTTAAAGTAAAACTTTTCACTTGGCATTAATACAAATTGCACTTTTCAAAAGTGTGTTAAGAAACAGCCATGAAAGTGTGCTATTTTTAAGTGACCTTTTATTTCATGTGTGCACTACAAATATGAGCACATCTCTTTTTCACAAAGGTAATGACTTTTAAAAAGGAGGTATTTGTGCACTGTTTCCATTGTAATCTTGTTATCTCTGTAATAGAGTCACCAGGTGCCAGGTGGAAAGTGGTATAGTTTGTTTTTCCATGTATCTGTACCAGCAGTGCTGGTGTAAATCAACACCATG